ACAGAAAGTATGTTTGTTCACGTTTGTAACAGATGATGTACTGTTTTTTCTCAACAATGGCTGCTGTTAAATTGTGTAGCCCATAGGTTCTTATCCTGTGGTCCACATGGCTTGAAGAAATGCTTTCTATTTGCAGTTAAAATAGAAAGAATAAATTAATGAAAGAAAGCAAAAAAAGAGAGATGTAGAACAAAATCTTAATTTCCCTTGCGAATTCGTGTTGAGAACATGCAAGTAATGACACTGTGTGGCTGAGACACAGCATGTGACATTTCTTGCTACTGTGCAATCAAAAGCTGTCGGAGTTAGTCAGTGTCAGTGCGAGTGAATGTTCGGATGGAGTTCATGATTGTGTTTCTTCTTTGATTTTTGCTAATAAAACCATTTGGTTATTGTCCAGTAAAGGGAATTTTCAATATTATAGCAGTGCTTTTCACAACAATACATTTTGGCTGAGCCTCGGAATGGATCACTGGCCGGATCTGAAATGTAAAATAACTGATGCTGTTAATGAGGGTGCATCGTGCTCAAAGCAAAATGGAGCTCCTTCCAGTCATCTTGAAAAGTGTTGCCATTATAGCAAGGAATATCTGTCAATGAGACCCTTCATGAGGAACTTTAAATAAATATTTGATTCATTTTAAGGTTTTAAATCTTGAGTTAATACTTGGTGATCTGTGGCAACGAAAGATATTTAAAGGAGGTCCATGGTAAAGAAAAGGTTAAGAACTGCTAGGGTAGCCCATTCCAAAATATAGATTTATTCCTTTAAGTGATTATCATGACATGATAATTATGGAACTGGTATATCCTTGTAGTTTGCTTGCTCATATCTATGCATCTGTGAATGGCAACTAACAATAAAACTTGATAGTCATATGAATAAGGTGCCACAGCAGTCTTTGTTGCTATCACATCTAATCTGCCAAATCATGGGGACCATATACACACACAAAGTCATTCTCTTTATGCAGATAATATTGCGTGATTTGACAATACCTAGTACTTGAACTTCAGTGGAGAAGCAAAATGTTGTTTTAAAAAATGTTTCTGGAGAAGGTGAAGCTCATGGAAGTAGCAGAACTCTTGAGTTAATAGCCAATATCCTTTCTTTTTCCTTGCGATTGAACTACTGCAATATTTTGGCAATCATATTTATTCAGTTCCACTGATTTCTATGAGAGATGTAAGTGCAGGAATATAAGTCTTAGCTGATTTTGTTCTTGCAGATAATGATGAAAAAATTTCTCCCCAGTGGGTGAGACTGAGAATTTTCATGCATTTGTTGCATATTTGAAATTTTAGTATAGTGTTTGTAGATTATTAATTTTTTCTTTTGCATACGAAAAAACTACTTTATACAGCACACCTTAGATGTTGTGCAAAATACGAATTTCCTTAATACTTATATATATATAATTTATTTAAATATATATAATTTTTCCAAAACAAATACAACAATGCTAACAAGTATGGAACATTGCATTAAATTTCCTTAATACTAAATGCTAGTTTTTCATGCCAAACCCAGAGCAAGGGGGGGGTGGTTTCAATTACTGTGGCTGATGGGAAAGGCACTGGTCTTTTCACTCTTATATGGGAACAAAATTCTTGCATCAGTTGTACATTTGTTTGATGTGGTGCCTCTTGACGAGATACCTTTTTTCATTCAGGGCAAGAAAATTTGTCAGTATTTGTTAGACTGTAGCGAAGAGCATGTTTAACTAATGTCAACATGGCTGGATTGTGCCTGTACAGTGGGGTCTCTACTTAAGAACTTAATCCGTATTGGAAGGTGGTTCTCAAGCTGAAAAGTTCTTATGTTGAATCTGCATTTCCCATAGGAATGCATTGAAAACCATTTAATCCATATCTGCTCTTTTCCATCCATAGAAACTGCAGTGGAACCTCTACTCAAGAACTTAATTGGTTTTGGAATGGTGTTCTTAAGTTGAAGCAGAATTTCCCATAGGAATGGACTGAAAACCAATTAATCCATTCTGGCTGTTTTTTTGTTATGTAGAGGTGCGTTCATACATTGAAGCATTAGTTCCCATAGGAACTAATGCAAAGCTGGTTAATACGTACTCTACCACTAGGGGGAGAATTTTTTTTAATCTAAGATGACCTAAGGTTAAAAAAAGAGCACGAAAGGTTTTTTTTCCTGTTCTTATCTTGGATTTCTGTTCTCAAGTAGAAGCAAAATTTAGCAAATGGAGCTGTTCTTAAGTTGGATTGTTCTTAAGTAGGGACGTTCTTAAGTAGAGACCCCACTGTATTCATGTACGTATGAGTCCTCAACAGTATGTCAAGTTCCCAGGATACATATTAGCAATCTTCACATGGCAATGAACTTGTAATGGAGTATGTAGATTGCAACCATGGAAAATGCATGTTTAATTCTGTAATATGCCCTGTTTCCCCCACCTTCTGTTTCTTATTTTCATACTCTACTCTGACGAGTATAGTTTTCTGTTGTTTTAACCTTGCAAACATATTGAAGAGCCATCCGATGAGCACCCAATGCATTTTCTGTATTTGTCTACTGCTGATCATCCCAACAATGTTCTCTGTGTCATAATTCTGCAAATGCTGGCCTTTCCTTGCTATTCCTTGCCAGCTTTTGGCACCTTTTCACAATTTTCCTGCTAAGTTATTTGCTTAAGTGAGATGTTGCTTTACAAATTCTTTGTTTTTGCTGGCAGTGGGTGTTTAACCATATGCTTTGCATACAGTGCCTGCCAAATGCCTAGATTTGAAGACTGGCTGAGCTGTATTCAACTTGTAGAGTTGGTAATTGGCAACTGCAAGTGAGTGATGGCACTTGGTGCTATAGCCATCTGTACCTATGCACACCCCCTCAGAGCCCCATACTGGCAAAAAGTATTGGTATATATGAAGGGGGGTTACAGTGAGAAAACAAGTATTAAGCAATGATTTATGCTCAGAGAGCAATGATAGCTCCACATTTTAGCAGCATATTTTCAAACAAATAGAGACATGTGATAGCCTTCTTCAAAGTGGTGTCCTCCACATGACTTGGAATACCAATCCCATCAGCCCCAGATAGCCTTGCTGTTTCAAGTTGGGAAAGCACAGACTACAGCTAGATACCTGGGAGCAAGTTTCAGCGAACTGTTTCAGGGTGTCTGAAGGCAGAAGAAAGATTGAGGACAGAAGAAAGATATGCCATCAAAATGTAGGAACTAAACATTGGTGTGCATGTTGTGGTAATAGTAAGAGGTGCTGGAATGGTCATACTACTACTAGAGTATAGTGGCTGGAACTGGAAGACAAGCTGGAAAACAGTTTTTGGAGCCACTCATTTTATAGTTAAATGTTTCCCTCCATTGTGGTAAGTGTGCCATTTGGCTTCTAGGCCACACCCACTTTGAAATCTCTCCATGCCTGCTGCTGCGTCCCTCGGTGCCTTTTTGCTTCAGCAGTGTGGCTCTCAATCCCAAAAAGCTCCCTATTCCTGGTATACAACCATAGGGGATGAACAGAGTAGGAATCTCCACCCTCGCTCTGCCCTCCATGTGGTCCACATAATCATTCCCTAGAAATTTTTAAGGATTCACAGCCATGTGGATCCATCCAAGCATATGTGCGTTCTTGGACTCATGGATTGCCCTAATTTAGTGGTAAGACAACACTTATTCAAATCCCATTAATTCACCGGCTATGGGTTATTGCTGCTATTGTTGTTGCGCTGTGCTGTCAAGTCAGAACTGTCTCATAGCAATCCTAATAGGGCTTTAACGGTAAGTGGGACATTTAAGGAGTGGTTTTGCTAGTTCCACTCCCCCAGTGAGTTTCCATCTTCAAGTGGCGACTCGATCCCTTGTTCTAGTCCATCGCTGTATCCACTACATCACACTGTGCTCCTTCTGAATTATTAGGGAACAAGAAATAAAACCCTTTGGGGGGATACAAAATGGAAGCCAAAGAAATATTCAGACCTCATACTGAATACTTTTCAGTATATTCTACTTTTGACTAGCCAGTGTGGGAAAACTCTTTGTGTAAAAAAAATGTGGAAATGAAAACTGTTCTGTGAACAGTTTTTAATTTGAAGATGGGCTTCTTTTAGCTCAAACTGCCATTGTAAAAAAATAGTAATTACCTACTGCAGCTATATTTTTACATACTTCACAGAAGTGTCAAAATAATTATTGCCTCTAATGTACTCCGCATAGATATAGTGCTATAAAAATAAGAAATACTAATCATTTCATGTGGCTTGCTACAGGCTCATGCAAGCTAATATATGTAATTCACAATCTTGTTTTCTCAGCACTGCCTTTTTTCAGAAATCAGTGGTATCCTTGGAGCCTAGTTTTCACCTCTTGAAGTACGACCACTTTCACATGAATTGAAAAAAGACTCAGATTGACATGGGCAAAGTCTAGTCCAGAAGAAAACAGTGAAATATGAGTTGTATCAGAACTCTGGCATTCGACATCACTTTGCAACCCTTGAGATACCGTGGGCCAAGCCAGACTCTACTTCTCCAGTCTGCCTTCTGTCACTGCCATTACTGCTCTCTCTGCTGCAGTGTCTGTGCTCATCTATATATAGACATCGTGTTGTCTTTTCACTGTTATCAATATTATGTGGTGGTTTGGATCCTGTTTTTTTCCACAGATGGAAGGGTTCCTTCTACATGTGGACAACTTCCAATCCAACAGATCAGTATATGGCAGAACAGGAGAGCACTCTCATCCCTCCCCACAAATCTGGCCTGGAGGGTTGGGGACCCTCCAGGACAGTGGGAATAGAGGGATTTATAGATGAGCATAGCAGAAGAGGGGAAAGAGCACCTCCCTCTCTTTCTGCTGAGGAGCACATTTGGAGCAGACCTTTCCTCGGGGACTGTTCTCAGCAGCAGAATACCAGCTGGAATCCAAAAAATCATTGTCCAAAAAAAAAGTAGGAAACAAATATATATAATTAGTTATGAAAATATGCATACATATATATATATATTTCTCTTTTAGCATTGTTTCAAAGGTCACTGTATCTGGTTAACTCCAGATATCTTGAAGCAAGATGGAAACTGGGGGTCATGGAGTAAATTTGGTTCTTGTTCAAGAACTTGTGGGACCGGAGTGAAATACAGGACCCGGCAGTGTGATAATCCACAGTAAGTTGAACTAAAAAAACTATATTGGCTATAACTAATAAAAACGTACAGTAATAAAATATTGTGTTTTTTTTTAGTTTTGATCAAAATATCTGTCTTCGTATTATTGTGGTCATTTCATAGTAATCTGTCAAACAATATATTGTTACAATAGATGAAATAGTGCACAACATGTTACTACTCTTTGGATAGAAATTGTATTAAGACTTTGATCCCGGGAACTGCTGCTATACCTAGACAAGTATAGGTTACATCTTTGTTAAACCTGGGTTTAAATTTGCCATTTCCAGGGAAGTTTAAAATACATGTTATCAGCACTGCTGGTGTAGAAACAAAAAGGTAATATTATTAGGCCACGGAGAACAATTTAAAGATATGATAGACCAATTATATTCAGAGAATATTGCAGCAATATTATTAAATGATGGAATAACGGAACAGATTTCCCTAGGCCATGGTACTAGACAAGGATGTCCCCAATATTGTTTGTCTTTGTTATAGAATTACTAAAAAACGCTGTTAGAGAAGATAAGTTAATTTGTGGTATTGGTCCTAAAGATAGTGTTAAAATAATTTTCCTGGTAATACTTTTTAGCAATAAAAATCCACTAAAGTTTATGGCTATGGTAAAGTCATATTTAAAAGTAGACATTGTCTAGAGGGGCGGAGTAAAAATCCAATAAATAAATAAATAAATAAATAAATAAATAAATAAATAAATAAATAAATAAATAAATAAATAAATAAAATAATTTGGAAAAGTAACAAGATTATAGATAAATGGGTATAAATCAGAGTTAATGATGTTTAATTATAAAGATGATATAGACATAATTAGAAAATAATTTGATATTAATATTCAAAAGTGTATTACATTTTTCATTTATGAGTTGTATCAGAACTCTGGCATTCGACATCACTTTGCAACCCTTGAGATACCGTGGGCCAAGCCAGACTCTACTTCTCCAGTCTGCCTTCTGTCACTGCCATTACTGCTCTCTCTGCTGCAGTGTCTGTGCTCATCTATATATAGACATCGTGTTGTCTTTTCACTGTTATCAATATTATGTGGTGGTTTGGATCCTGTTTTTTTCCACAGATGGAAGGGTTCCTTCTACATGTGGACAACTTCCAATCCAACAGATCAGTATATGGCAGAACAGGAGAGCACTCTCATCCCTCCCCACAAATCTGGCCTGGAGGGTTGGGGACCCTCCAGGACAGTGGGAATAGAGGGATTTATAGATGAGCATAGCAGAAGAGGGGAAAGAGCACCTCCCTCTCTTTCTGCTGAGGAGCACATTTGGAGCAGACCTTTCCTCGGGGACTGTTCTCAGCAGCAGAATACCAGCTGGAATCCAAAAAATCATTGTCCAAAAAAAAAGTAGGAAACAAATATATATAATTAGTTATGAAAATATGCATACATATATATATATATTTCTCTTTTAGCATTGTTTCAAAGGTCACTGTATCTGGTTAACTCCAGATATCTTGAAGCAAGATGGAAACTGGGGGTCATGGAGTAAATTTGGTTCTTGTTCAAGAACTTGTGGGACCGGAGTGAAATACAGGACCCGGCAGTGTGATAATCCACAGTAAGTTGAACTAAAAAAACTATATTGGCTATAACTAATAAAAACGTACAGTAATAAAATATTGTGTTTTTTTTTAGTTTTGATCAAAATATCTGTCTTCGTATTATTGTGGTCATTTCATAGTAATCTGTCAAACAATATATTGTTACAATAGATGAAATAGTGCACAACATGTTACTACTCTTTGGATAGAAATTGTATTAAGACTTTGATCCCGGGAACTGCTGCTATACCTAGACAAGTATAGGTTACATCTTTGTTAAACCTGGGTTTAAATTTGCCATTTCCAGGGAAGTTTAAAATACATGTTATCAGCACTGCTGGTGTAGAAACAAAAAGGTAATATTATTAGGCCACGGAGAACAATTTAAAGATATGATAGACCAATTATATTCAGAGAATATTGCAGCAATATTATTAAATGATGGAATAACGGAACAGATTTCCCTAGGCCATGGTACTAGACAAGGATGTCCCCAATATTGTTTGTCTTTGTTATAGAATTACTAAAAAACGCTGTTAGAGAAGATAAGTTAATTTGTGGTATTGGTCCTAAAGATAGTGTTAAAATAATTTTCCTGGTAATACTTTTTAGCAATAAAAATCCACTAAAGTTTATGGCTATGGTAAAGTCATATTTAAAAGTAGACATTGTCTAGAGGGGCGGAGTAAAAATCCAATAAATAAATAAATAAATAAATAAATAAATAAATAAATAAATAAATAAATAAATAAATAAATAAATAAAATAATTTGGAAAAGTAACAAGATTATAGATAAATGGGTATAAATCAGAGTTAATGATGTTTAATTATAAAGATGATATAGACATAATTAGAAAATAATTTGATATTAATATTCAAAAGTGTATTACATTTTTCATTATAACTCATCATAGGCATCCTTCAGTCTCGAAAGACTATGGTATCGTGCTCTGCATGGAGGACTTGGAACAGCGTCTAGTGTAGCTAAGGCCAATTTGAGAGTGACAATCCCTTCCACACTGAGGACAAATACAATCTGTACCCTATTTAGCTCCCTGATTTTGCTGCTTTCGTGACTGCCTCTTCAAATTGGGAGAGGCAATGAATTTAGAAAGATTGAAAGAGGATAATTTTAAAACACTGAATCAAGACATTAATAATAAGTTAGATAAGTTTAGGAAAACTGGACTTTTGTTTGGTAGCATAGTGGTATGTAAAATAAAGATTTTACCCAAGGTAAATATTTACTTATGATGTTGCCAATAAAGATAGTTAAAAGATTGGCAAAGGGAGTGCGGGCAGGCGGGCGTATGTGTGTGCTGGAGTGTGCACGTCTACCTTCAGCCCTCAAAAATGTGGAGTGGGCCCTGGGGACAGGAGGCAGAGGGCAGCGGGTGCAGCTTTGGAATCCCAGGATTTTTTTTCTTAGGCTGGTTATGGATTACAGGGTTTTCAATGCATTCCTATGGGACATGGACCCTCGACCTATGGACTTTTCGACCTGCGACCACCATTCCAATACGGATTAATTCCGTAAGTCGAGGGTCCACTGTAATGGATTGTTCCAAATTATTAATGAAATACGTAATTCTATATTTCTATTTTTGTTGGTAGGTTGGTTTTGTCATTAATGTTAAAGTCATATGCTAGAGATGGCCATCTTTTGCAGTGTCAGTGCCCAGACAATTACTAACAACCACATTTGTGCAAGATGCTCAGTCTTCTCTTAAAAGATTCAAGTTTCAAGTATTACTTTGTGGTAAATGTGTCACAGTTAGTGGACACCTGCAGTTCAGCATGTCTTGGTTCCCCTGTATAATGACCAAGATATTTAGCTTTGATATGGAACATTTATAGTTCTTACCTGCTGTGTATCTGTGCAAAAAGGTCGGTCATTACGTTGATGATGATCCTGATTCCCATATTACAGAGGCTGTGAAACAGTGGCTTGCCTACAGTCATCTGTCCTGCATCCAGTGGACCTTACTTCTAAGTGTAATTCATTTCTGTTTTCATAATTGTAAAGCAAATGCATTATCTGGTGCTGTTTTGCTTCAGTTATATGGTGTAACTTACCAAATATTTATTTATTTATTTATTTATTTATTTATTTATTTATTTATTTATTTATTTATTTCTAGCCCAGCTAACGGAGGCCGCACATGTTTCGGGCCAAGCTATGAATTCCAGCTCTGCAGCACACAAGATTGTCCTAAAGATTATGAAGATTTCAGGGAGGAGCAGTGTAGACAGTGGGATCCTTATTTTGAATATCAGAACACGAAACACCACTGGCTTCCATATGAACATACTGAGGGTTAGCACATTTCCTATTTTTCTTCATTTAGTGGACTTTCTATAATTTGGAAAACCTATTTTGGGGGACTGTGGTTTGAAGGGGGATTGAATTCTAGTTTTAAAAAGTAACCTTTCATAGCTTGGGGAACTTAGTGCTCATCTACCAAATTTGGAAGACTTAGCATGGTGTACATCATGCTTTCTCAGGAGAGAGTTCTCTTTTTTCATACAAAGGAGCCTGACACTCACTTACCACACTCACATATTACTTAGTTTCTGTACTAAATCTGTTTATAAATAGCATATACAGGAGATTGTTGCAATAGCAATTCAGAAACTTTTTCAAGAAATGTATTTTAGTGAGTCCATCCCTTGATGACGGGGGATATAAATAGTCTCTGCTCTGGTTTTGACTGTAGTCTATTTCTGTAGAATTTCATTGAAAACCCTTCCAAACAGATGGAAGTTCTTCAGTAAGTTGCTGGGAGTTTTTGATCCAGTACAAGGAAGGTACATAGTAGCATCTTGCCATAAAACTTCTGTGGAACCACCGTTTACAAACAGAACAAATAATAAGTATGCTTAAAAGTTGACCAATAGCTGTCAAACAGACTGAATTGACCCAAACAACTTAAAGTGTTTAGCTTCCATGTAAAAACTTTAATAAAATAATAACAGACCAGGCTTTTGACAGGAAAAAAAATGTCCTGCCATCTTCAGAATACAAATGGCATACTAACTACAATGTGTGATGCAATCATATTGAGTGTATATTACCGTAGTTAGTATTTCGTTTGTATCCTGGAAGATGACAGGATGTGTTTTCCTATCAAAAGCTTGATCTTCTATTGTTTTATTAATTCAGTCTGTGTGACTGTGACTGTTCAAATTTTATTATGCTCCAAGAAAGTAGAAAGTTGTTGTAGGTTTTTCAGGCTGTTTGGCCATGTTCTGGAGATTTTTCTTCCTAACGTTTCACCAGTCTCTGTGGCCGGCATCTTCAGAGGACAGGAGTTAAAACTCGTGTCCTCTGAAGATACTGGCCACAGAAACTGGCGAAACATTAGGAAGAAAAACCTTCAGTACGCAGCCAAACAGCCTAAAAAACCTACGACCATCGGATCCCGGCCGTGAAAGCCTGCAAGAATACAAAGTAGAAAGTGTTTCAATAAGTATAATTATTTTATTTTTATTTTTGCAGCTAAAGAAAGGTGCCACCTCTACTGTGAGTCAAAGGAAACTAGTGACGTTGTGTATATGAAGAGGCTTGTACATGATGGAACCCGGTGTTCATATAAGGATTCACATAGCATCTGTGTACGAGGAGAGTGCCTGGTATGTGGTAGTTATTTCAGCAACTGATTTTTGAGGTTACTATTGCCTAGGATGGGTATAACATTGCTATAATTACCGTGGTATTTTCCCCCATCACTGATCTCACAAAAGTAGTTCTTAATTTAATTCATTTAATAATTTTACACTGATATCTGTATTTTTTTGTTTAAAATTGCTTTTCTGTACCTTACCTTGCTTAATTGTATGAGGACGTATTCCACTGGAGTGTACTTCCTAACTTCCTTCCATGTTAACTGGAGACTTTATGCAATGTTCTGTTGTATGTTTCCATGGTGATGGACTATATAGGCATCAGTAAATCACAAATCTGCAGTTTTCTGTTTCTTAGACCCTGCCTCTTGACAAGTAACTGTCAAATTAGAGCAGAAGGAAGTCATGTTACATGAGTAAACAGCCTGAAGACCCTCATTCATTTGAGTGACAGAGCACAGAAAGATGATTTAAAAGCAAAGAAAAGGCATTAGACAATGTTGGACATAACTAAATAAGTTAAATTTAAGTTGAAATGCACATTTATAAGCCATCTAAAGCCAAGAAAGGACTTGTAAAGTTGTACCACTGTGGGTTCTTTGGCAGCACACTGGACCAATGATTTTTCTGGGGGAATTCATTAATTTTTGTGTTTGGAGGGTGGCAACAAATGGCTTTGCTGTTTTCCTTGGGGTGACTGGAATAGTCTGCCACCAAGTAGAACATAGTTAGGTTTGTGCTTGTTCTACCATAATTGTTCTACCTTTATTGGTATAAATCTTCATATGTACTAATTCCTATATCAGTTTTCTGGATAATGATCTTTTGCTGCCAAAATGGTTAAATGCTGGAAAGTTAAACAATGTTGAGGAAATCTTTAGGTTTGCAAGAAGCAATAGATGCAGATTGAAAGGACCTATATAAATTGTGGGTATAAAGCTGGGCTGTTAATTAGTGTAGTAGAAAGTTTGTAGTTATTGCTGAAAGGACATTCCTGTGACTGAAGCAGTCTTCTCAGTTTGAGAATTCAGATTTCACAAAGAATCCCTTGCCAATTGCAAAACAAAGCAAGTGAATTAGAAAGTGAAAGAAGCTCCTGCTGCGACAAACAAACAAGTGAAGCTACTCTTACAAGGAATAAACTGATGCTGAAGGGACCAGTACCTAACCTTTAGCTTTTAAGTTATCCCTTTGTCATGAGACTCACAATGGCACCCAGTGCTGTAGCAAATATCTTGGGTCTCTGCAGGGAAGAAGGTCACAAGAGAAATGGAATAAATAAATAAATAAATAAATAAATCAATAAATCAATCAATCAATAAATAAATAAATCAATCAATCAATCAAACAATCAATCAATCTCTCTCAAGCCAATTAAATGCCCACTGCAATAAATAAATAAATAAGAAATGACTGGAAGTTGGAGTCTTTTCTTCAGGTTGACTTGGGGGGGGGGACGTATTTACTCAGTAGCATTTGCCCATGGGTCAAAGTTGGGTATGAACTGAATGAAATGCCTGTGTAAATTCACATCCTGAGTAGTAATAGGTTCATAAAGCACTATTATTATATCAGGGTTTAGTTAAGCAAATAGTTAGAAATTTCTCTCTCTCTCAAGATGTTGATATTAATTTAGATACCACCTTACTCTTTCAGGAAAATACTTAAAAATATATTTCATTGCTGGAAATTATAATAAGGATATATGCTCTTACAAAGAAGAATATTTCTTTTTGTCCTTTTTTTTCAGAAAGTCGGTTGTGACAAAGTGATTGGTTCCTCAAAGCAAGAGGACAAGTGCGGAGTGTGTGGTGGAGACAATAGTCATTGCAAAGTGGTGAAAGGCACATTCTCCAGAGTACCAAAGAAACAAGGTCATTTCATTTTGAATGTCTTGCCACTGCCCCAGAGGAATATGCAAGAACACTGTAGTAGAAGTTTAAAACTTCCCATTAGCTGTACCTGTCCTGTACTGCACCATGAGACCATTTTGAACCATTTTGGGGGAAGAGTTACCGTTGGTATTGAAACTCTTACTGTGCTTCTTTGAGCCCATCTGTACACTTACCATCGGCCCAATGGCTTAGGCCTCTATATGTCTCTTCAGAGGTTGGTCTTGTTTGATATCAGGTTGCTTACTCCAGATCTGGCTGCGTAGCATGGCTGAGCATCATATAGCATTTGGTGGGTGACTAAGCACACACACACACACACACACACACACACTTCCCCAGACTGCTGAGGGCAGTATTAACTTGGCCACAACCCTAGTGATTTTGAGTAGGATCACTGTAATGGGGCTAATGGGTTAAAGTGCCCCCTTCCAGTGATCCTTGTGAAGATATCCTGGGATAGGGGGACATGAATCTTGCCCTGCCCTAAACAAAAATCAGAATCAATAGGAACACACACACACACACACACACTTCCCCAGACTGCTGAGGGCAGTATTAACTTGGCCACAACCCTAGTGATTTTGAGTAGGATCACTGTAATGGGGCTAATGGGTTAAAGTGCCCCCTTCCAGTGATCCTTGTGAAGATATCCTGGGATAGGGGGACATGAATCTTGCCCTGCCCTAAACAAAAATCAGAATCAATAGGAGCAGTCAGGAAACAGCCATGCCAAAGAAAATGAACACGACACATGTGAACGAGTCGGCCCATGTATCACGTTTCTTAGCACTCTTGGCCTTCTGCTAGCCCATCAAATTGTTGGCTGAGGGGAGACAGATGTTAAGTTCTACTTGCAGTCAGGGAGCATGGGGATGACTGTCTCTACACAATGCAGAATGTCAGAGGTAGGTGATCTCCAAAGGTCACATATCCCTGGCCAAGGATACTAGAGGACACTATATTTGGTTCCTGAGGGGGGTGCGTATGGTCCACACACCACACTTTGTTCATCCCATGATGTAGCATTAGCCCAAGAAATTGAAGGTACAGAACCTGCTGTGGGCTGCACAAACCACTTGTGGCCCACAGGCTGTGATCTGCTCACTCCTCCTATACTGGACTGCTGTCTTCACGTCCTATTTGAAGTGACTCTTTTCTTGCTCTTCGGTCAGAGTTTCCACGAGCTCAGTTTTAAATTAGCCTAATATTTTGAGTAAATTGGGGAGGTTTTGACTTGCCTCCCTTTCATATTAACCAGAGGACAATCAAAATGCATTGTCACATGTGTGGTAACAGCTTTTCCACCTCATTCTGGAAACAAGATTTCACTTGATTATCAAGATTTTACTGCCTTGTTTTGCAGGCATAGGTGTAGCCTGTGTTATACTGGTATATATTTTATTCAACATATGAAAACAAATACAATACTTATGTCAGCCTGGTGTAAACCTCAGATTGTACAGCATAGACAAATGTGTTGTGTTTTAAGATCTGGAAGATATTTTAAAATTGTTACTGCTGGTGTCAAATAAAATACCGTGTTTTTTCATTTATAAAATGCCCCTATGTATAAGGTGACCCCCACTTTTCTAACCCCAAATTAGAAAATTTGATTGCAACTTTTCCCGTCACTTCCGAAGCCCCATGGGGCTTAGCAAAAGGAGGGTGAAAGTAGCAGTCAAAGGGCTGCAGGATCACTTTGATAACTGCTTTCCCCCCTCCTTTTGCTAAGCTCCGTGGGGCTTAAGAAGTGGAGGGGGAAAGCAGCAATTAAAGAGCGGCAGGATCTCTTTGATCTCTTCCTCCCTCCACTTGTTTTTGTTCTCTCCTCAACTTACTTCTTTGTATAAGACGGCCCTCAATTTTTAGTCTAAAGATTTTAGACAAAAGTATTGTCTTATACAAGGAAAAATATGGTAATACCCATGCCATTATTGGTAGGAAGAGGGATGCCTTATAGCCTAGGTATCACTAGGAAGCTGGGCTGAGGCTGAAGGCCAGGTATGTTTGCATGGACATTTTGCTGAGGAGGTTTGTTTTGTTTTGTTTTTTGTTTTGGCTGGGCTTTCTTTTGGTCTCCCCCACCGCATGGCCTAGGGGGTGGGGTCTAGGGAGTGGGGCTTTCTGCTTTAAATGAGGATGTCTCAGGACCTCTCACCTAATGGTGCGTGCAATTATCAAATTCTCTGATTCTATCTCTGACCCTAATATGGTAAATAGGAAAGCCAATTAGAATTGCATACACATGGGAATCAGGAACGTTTTAAGGGTCGGATCATACTTCTGCACTATTAAAGAGCAGGCCGAGTAGGTGGGGCTCGTCAGCCATGAAAGGCAGCCCATCTAGGAGAAGGAAAACTCCCGATTTCAAACCTCCACTGCCTTGTGGCTATATCCACTCATGGAAAAGGTTTCAGGAGTTAACCTAGAGGCAAAATCCGGAGCTGGAGTCCCGAAGGCAGTTCGCGTTGTTCTGCCAACTCCTGCAACCTTGCTGGAACCAGTTGTATTGGCTCTTGCCTTTCCACTGGACCATTTCAGCACTGTGGAGAGGGGGGATTTGCTGCTTGAGTAACAGCCTATCCTCGATATTACTTTACCCAAGCTTCATGCTCTGGAGAGGACATTCTTCTGTTACCATAGTCTCTCGAGACTGAAGGATGCCTATGCCTATGTGTGGCAGAGCTCACTCCAAAGGTTGGTGGCAAGTTGTGGACTTCATTATCTTCCTAAGCCAAATGCATAAAACCTAGCAATTAAACACTTTAAAAGTGTTTCATCAGAGGAAAGCCCTGATAAATTCAGAGAGGCTTCCTGCCAAGTGAATATGCATAGGATTACAGCATAAAAGTTAATCAGCTGGATTTTTCTGCAGTGATCAGGAAACGTTCACACTATCATAGAACATAACTTCATCTGCCTCTGTGGGTTGTGGTCTGCCTGTAGGGGAACATCTTAGCAGCAAAGATGTTCTACACTGCATCAAACTAAAAGAAGCAGGAATTGTGCCCATATTTTTCATCCCCTCATCCTCAAAGCCCCTGCTGAGGAGACTTGTCAGTGCTCACAAGCAAGGGCTTGCTTCTCTTTCTCATGAGCCTCTTTGCACCCTGGCATTCACCTGTGATGTCTTCCTGCATGAAAGCCTCTTTCTTTCAACAAAGGACCTCAAAACATAGATCACCTCCAGTTCTTTCCATTACATACACCAAGTTGAGTGACACTTTCTAGGCAGCATCAGTCTTTGCGTGTGGAGTCAGTCAGGGTGGAAATGAGCGAGAAACAGGATCTTGCAGGACTCACAGCTAAAACTCATCTCTGTACTCAGGACCTCTCTAAATATACTATTTGTATCCTTATTTAACCTAGATACAGATAATGGTTTCAGGGATATATCTAGATTAACCTGCTATTTTATTGGATTATAAATTATTTTCATCCCAGAGAGTCAAGAGCAAATGAGGATATGTACAGAGTTGAAGTTCTTTGTATCTTCTCAGACTGTGAAAGAAAATATGAATACGGGAAAAGACAGTTTAGAACTTCCTGAAATCAGCTACCCTGTTTACCAAAATAGTATTTCCTAACTCTGTATGTCCATTTGTGAAAGGTAGTGCTTGAGGATATGGAGTGAGACCAGTACCTTGAATGCCAAGTTGTGACAGTCACCGAAAAATAAAAGCAACCCAAAAAGTCTCAACTGAGATAAAATTGCATTTTTTTTTCTTTTCCTTTTGAAGGAATTAATAGGTTGCCTGCTTTTTTTTGAAAGAGACTAAAAATCAGAATAAGATCATACTACACTGAACTCAGATCTAATTGATGTAGCTGATAAAGGAAGGAGTATCTTGCTACCCCACTTCTAGGAGAGTAGGATGGCATCCTTGAATTGGACAGCACAGAAAGTTTAACTCAGAAGTAATTAATTAATTAATTAATTAATTAATTAATTAATTAATTAATTAATTAATTAATTAATTAATTAATATTTATTATTTATTCAATTTATACCCCACCTAGTGGTTTATAACTTATTTACAATAATGCTATAACTGTTGTATAGAAAAAAGTTCTATATTCCAAAATCTCCTTTTTGACACAGATATTTATGGTTTATAAACCCAGGTTTCTTTTCTTTTGTTTATGGTAGTAATCTGTGCTGGTTTTAACCTCATTTACAGGTTACATTAAGATGTTTGAGATCCCATCAGGTGCAAGGCATTTGCTCATACAAGAGTCTGAGGCTACTGTTCATAATCTTGGTGAGTATTACACTACTGAATTCCTGTTGTTGTTGTTTGGTTTCCTGTGATCACCATTCTCATCATTGTCACTACCACCATGATTTTCCCTTGGAGATTTGTTTCTGATGACAGTTTGAAAATACCTCAGTGCGGAGTGTTGGCCATCATTTTTAAAACTGAGATTAGGGCAGCTCTATATAAGTAGAACAACCATACAATCATATGTGAGATGGTCCAAGCCAACCGCAGTGAGAATGTTCAATCAATCACAAAGCTTAAACAGTAATTGAAATCCTCTCCTTACAATTCAGTGGATCGATGACAAACCATGTCTTGTAGACTGTGATTAATTAGGAGTGGAGTAACATCAAATGGGCTCGTAACTCTGCTATGCATCACCTAGGTTTTGCTTTAGTAAATGCTTCCCCTGAACTCCTCTTCTGGGTAACTCTCATGGGCTTAATTGTATTCATTGCACAGACCTATTCCTTAGAATCTTAGAACTCCAGCGTTGGGAGGGGCTCCATGGATCATCAAGTCCAGCCCCATCAAGAAAGTGCAGTAGTGAATCAGACTCCCGACCTCTGGCTCCACAGCCAGATAGCTAAACTACTGAGCTAAACAGCATTTACTTCTCTTAGACAAACTGTTTCTGAAGAACTGCAAGCAAGATGTAAACCCTGAGTTTTGTAGTTCCAATGAGCATATTGCTGCTGACCACACATCAGAAATCAACCTGACTTACAAGAAGAGGTGGCATTTACTTAAGCAACAAGAAAGACAGGAAAATTTCTAAAATTAGATAGAGATAAAGATGAAAGGGGTATTAAAATTTTTAATGTTGAAATTAACCAAGGAACTCAGTGCTACCAAGGTCAGTAGCAAAGACTATAGCAGACATTTTGTTTGAAGTGGAGAAGAGGGAGAATAAGTTGGTACAATCTTTGAGTTCAAAGGGGCCTCATCTAATCCAATCACTTACACAGAGGAAAAATTTGCTGTGCTTTACATCTCTGCCAGACGATTTAGCAAAGGAGATGACCTCAGGTAATTGATTTCATTCGCTGACTTCTCTTTTAGGAATGAAGAACTGTCTACTCTTATCTAAACAAACAATAAACATCAATAGTCAGTGCAACTTAGTCTCACAGACGTGCAATGTATTTCCATTGCCTACCATGTATAGCAACACACTAGGGACTCTGTTACATCCCTGTTTTGCTCTCCACCTGGGCCAGCCACAACAAGACAACAGTGGTGATGGGCTGCAATGGATTCAGAATGCCACCTGGGATTGGGTTCGGTGGTGTCATTCCACTCATACAACCAATTATCTATGTGGAATTAGAATTGTAGATGAGACTGCTTTGAACTCAAGTATTCTAGCATCTCATCCTCTCTCAGAACTTGCTTTGATTGTTGTCAGGAGCTTGAGAGGCTGCTGGTGGGTTGGGGCAGAAAGTGGGGATAAAGCCTTGTTAACTGAGGGGGAGCAGGCCTGTGATATTTCTTTTCTGCCTTATCAAGCTGGATATTTCTCTCCTCCCCCTAACCCCCCCCCCAGCCATTCTGCAAATCAACCTGGCTGCAACACAATCACTACTGCTAGTGTCTGGGAAGATCCCCATTAGCCCAAAGATGGGCAATCTTGATCAGGCCAAAGGCCAAATTCTAGTATGACTGGCAGCCTAAAATGGGAGTTTTACTCAGATGTTCAGAAGTATGAATGAAGAAGCAGTAGTCTAGTTAGGGCTTCCTCAGAAATTGCTGTCTTGGATATTATAAACCAAAGCAGTTTTTTAAAAAAACATGTTAGTGGGTTGCTGTGAGAGCCCATGACAGCAAAATTTGCCAACCACCTACAAACACCCTGTGAGCATTATTCTTTTAATCTAATAAAGGCATTTCTTTACCATCCCTGTGGATTTTTTAATACACATCAATATGTATTTTTTTATCTTTTATGAGATGACTTGAGATTATTCCAGGGTTGCAATGAAAGATCAATGGAACAGAATAGTAAAGATTTAGTACAAATCACATACTAACTCAAAGATGAATAGCTGACTGCATCAAAGGCTACTTTCCCAGCAAGAGGAATGAGAAAGGGTGGGAAAAGGAGCCGTGTTTGTCTTCTGATGACAAACCAAGCCAACTCCACCGTTCATAACCACAGAGACATAATTGTTGTGGAAATGGTGCTTCAATCCATGCCTGCTATATAGAACATCAGAGCCGCTCCTATAAATTAAATAGACAAGGATCCCTCAACCACTGTTTTCTTCAAAGCTTGAAAATAATTCCCTTTTTTGACTACAACTACTAGGAAACCCCTCTCCAGCCAAGCCAGTGTTGTCATGCTGGCTGAACAGTTCTGGAACTTACAATCCCAAGGAAAAAAAAATTCCCTCAGTTCCCTCCCCAGATGGCACCAAATCCATATGGTTGTGTTTTTTTTTCTCAGAATGACAATTTCACTGGGATTTGAGTGTATCCACTGAAAAAACTGTGTTGCCACCCAAGAGATTGGGCCAAGTAAGGAGCACTGTCCAAAATGTTTCCACATATATTTAAAGCAACAACATTATTTCTGTGTAAAGGAGACAAACCTTAGGTAGAAATAAAAAGGAGTCTTCTGTTACTTGAAAGACTAACACATTTTACTGGGCATAAACTTTTGCAGACTATACTGTAGTTCTTTTTTTTTCAGATTCAACCATAATTTCTTTATTCATTTAAAATATTTACATGCCATCTTTCTCTTAGTGGATGGGAAAAAATGCATAAGCTACAAGCTGGGAAAGTAGAAAGGTGAATGCAAAATAAGCGTTATATCAGAGGAAGCTGCATTTCAGCACCAGAAATAGTGTCCATGCAGTATCATAATAGTATGGTAGCCACACAGCCCTACACAAACTTAAAACAAAACCAAACTACATAGCAAAGCAGATGGCATGCTTCATAAAGCCTGAATTGAGTTGCTGATCCTAGTTAGAGTAGATCCATTGTATCAGCTCTGAATAATAAGTCAATGGGTCTGCTCTACAAGGACTATTAATTGGATTCAAGCTCAAAATCTTAAAGCACCACTTTCCTGCATTACTTGATCGCTGTAGAGGAGGGACAGATACAGAGGCATGAGTGTGAAGAGGCCTTATCTGATGTGGATTTGGTGGTGGGTGGATGGGTAGGCTTTGTGAGCAAACCAGTTGTGGCTCAAATATCAGAAGCTCTATATTACTGTTTCAGAAGAACAGTTCTTCTATTAAGGAATTCAGCCCTCAATCAGGTATTTTGAAGAGCATTGTGTTATCTCTGCTTTTTTGTGCGAATCCTATTTTATATTTCTATCAACATATTATGTTTGGAAGGGGTTTTTAAGCATGAAAGGCTAGTATCTACATCTCCTGAAATAAAATAAAAAGTAGAAGGTGCTCTGCCTGGAATTTTCTAGTCTCTTTCCTTGTCCCAGCAAATTAAAAATGAGACAGGAGAAAATAACTGCCATCTCTTGAGGATTTCACATTTGTCGTGTTGTTTCTAGCTATCAAGAACAGAGATACGGGGAAATTTATTTTAAATGAAGACAACTATGTGCCAGATTCTAAAGTGTTTGTCAACATGGGTGTGGAATGGGAGTATCGGAATGATGACGATAGGGAAATGGTGCAAACGATGGGCCCGTTACGCAGTGGAATCGCCGTTCTGGTAAGTCTTTTGAATATGAGAGTGTCTAGGTTAGTCTGACTCAGGCATACAGTGTTTTATGGAGTGCATCTGTTAAAGCATCTGCTTCAAAAATCAAGGACATGCTTAATTCTATCTTCCCAATTTTACACATCACCACTTCTGCTTATATGAGTTTCAAGGCAGAGCTTGAAAATATTTCCTTTTTGGATTATCATCTCCCAGATCATATATCCAGGGTTCCAGGAGCTATAGACCCCCAAAAAGGGTTTTTTCCAAGCTCTACTTCAGCATATACAGTATAACAAAAAGGCAAATAATAAATGTGAGTGACGTGGAGTTGGAGGTGGAAGAAGAAGTAGGTTTGTCAAATAGAACTGTCAGAAAAAAGAATCTGCTGGATAGACCTGCAGCAAGAGTCGAGAACTGTACAAGTAAGGCCAGGGGTCAGCATTGGCGGACAAAGCAAAGTGTGCTGGTGCTTATATACTGCCCCACAGTGCTTAAAGCTCTCTCTGGCTCCATATTCCCTGCCCCCGCCAAAGGACCAAGACTACCTCGGATGTATAACGGAAGCCAAGCCAGCCAACAAACTGGCTGAGGAAGGGAGTTAGAGTTAAACTAGAGTTAGAGGAAGATAATAGCTCCTCTTCTTCTTACCCAGCATTTATCTTTCTGTATTTTCATCACCAGCTGGAGACCTTTTTTCATTTTTCTTTTTCATTTTCAAAGACTTTTAGGTATACTTTTTAATCCAGATGCTTGCATTATATTGCTTCTTCGGTGGTGTAAAAAAGTTTGTTTCTGTTTATTACAGGAGTGGGTTGTATTTACATTTTAATTATTTTTTTTCTTGTAAATAGGGCAAGGGATTATGATTGAAGTGCATTAAGAAAGTATTGATAACAAATGAGCACATGAATTAATAACTGATCGCATGGGTTGTTAGCATCTGGCCCCCAGAGGTTCTTGGAGTTCAAGAACTGGAAGTTGTTATGTGAGGTTGGGAACCCCCGTGCTGTAGCCTGAAGGGGTTCCATCAGAAGAAATGCTCGTTGATAGAATCAGAACCTCTACTTTTAACTCTGGCTATCCTTAGAGTAAACTCAAATTACAAAATTTCTATAGCGAGAAAGGGATATACGAGGGTCTCACAAGTATAGTATCCAGCTATCATTATAATTGTGCCTATCACTTGGGCATACAATCCTGAGAGGTAATCCTATATCCAAATTGGGATGAAAGATGTCCTTAATCTCTGAGACATATTTCCTTTATATTGATATTCATTGGACTAATGAAACAATGATTATGGAACTGTAATAAATTAACCCTTCAAGAACATTTTCTTGTCATAAGTTTGCATATGCAATTAAAATTCTAATACTAAATATTTGACAATATGAATCATTGATTTAAATAGGGCATGTTTATGAAAGCACATTAAGAAAATCCTTTTAGGATGACAAATTTTAATGTTTTTATTATTTTGTAAAAATTATTAAAAGAATTTTAGACTACAGTTCATCAAAACACAGAGGAGCATTATAATACAAGATCTTGGAATGGGCATGTAATCTGTAAAACATAGAAAAACAGTACAAAATGCAGTAATGAAACAAAATAAAGGGGAAATTATACAATACTGTAATGTTAATGCCTCTGCCCTTTTTATCATGGCATTGATCTTTTTCTGAAATGCTTCTGTCATATTCTAAAGATCTTTGTAAATATATATGCATTAATTTTCTGACTAGGCAATTCCTCATGGTAATGTCAAAATTTCACTGACATACAAGTACATGATCCATGAAGACTCTTTGAATGTTGATAACAACAACGTTTTACAAGATTCGGTAACGTACGAGTGGGCTTTGAAAAAATGGTCGCAGTGTTCCAAACCTTGTGGAGGAGGTAAGGAAAGAATGTTAAATTAATGAAACTCTGTAGCTTTCTGTCAGTCATTAAAATGATGGAACCAATTATGTTCACACAGAGACTTAGTTACTCAATATTATATAAGTGATTGCTGAATATGTGATTTCCTTTGTGGTGTTAGTTGGTGACGCATCCACCCAGTGATTCTGGAATCAGTGGTGATGTATTTGCTTGTGGAAACCCAACCAAAGTATAAACAGCATTTTAAAAATATATGCATTCATGTTTGTTGAATTTTAACAGCAGGAAATATACAAATAGTATCAAAAATTAAGGGTGGAGGAAAAACTCTGCAATCTGATTATTGCTGACTGCCTACTATTCATAACCTAGTGAATATCTAGGAAATGGGCAGCAAATAGAATTTATTAGGACAGTTCCATTCAGTGACTAAGATAAAATAAATTATTTATTATTATTTATTTTATTTTTTTATTTGAGTGCCTGCTGATAAAATGGTGAAGTGTAGCAGTTCTAACAGAAAATGCACATGGTAGATTGTTAGTCTGTGACCCATCTATTTCTCAGAGAAGCACACATCTAGAAAAGGCCCTGTATATTCATTCATTCTTTGCTTCTAGGATTCTCCCTGTGGTGTGATATGGATTTGGTATCAGGAGCTTTCCCTCATTCCTCCCCAGCCCTACCCTGGTCCCCACACATCAGATATTGTTCCCAGAAGTGAACAAGCATCCAAGCCAGGCCTTCCTGACTTAGCGAGAGAGAGAGAGAGAGAGAGAGACAGAGACAGACAGACAGACAGACAGACAGACAGACAGACCATACTTACCCTATGCTTAACTGGAGTTTTTTTTTTAAGAAAAAGGACTTAAATAGGCTTCACTGTATTATAAATACTGAGAACAATTAATTTTGAATTATGTGGAAGTGCCTTAACAGGCTGTAGATGAAAAGAACTGTCTTTCTTAAGGTTATCAGTTTACAAAATATGGTTGCCGGAGGAAGACTGACCACAAGATGGTTCATCGCAGTTACTGTGACTCCATCCAGAAGCTAAAGCCCATTCGGCGAGTGTGCAATCTGCAGGAATGTTCTCAGCCAATGTAAGTATTTCTCTCTGCTGGAATAATTCTTTGCCATTGCATAATAATCAACTGAAGGAAAAGCATCTTCAGCTGGCCTCAGATGACCTCTTTCCTCCCCCCTCCTCCTGTGGTTGTTTTGGGTTAGGGCTGCTCTATGGCCACAATTTTTACAATATTACCAGATCTAGAGTTATGCAATGATGTGATAGACTTGCCAGGATTTTGTCTGTTGAAAAAAACCAACTTTCCTATGAAATAATGATCCCCACTGATTCCATAGCAGATTATCATAGTGAGGAAAGAGAAATAATAATCTCTATGTTTATGTGTCTCGCTCATTCTAGGTAATTAGCTAGAATAGATGTGAAATGGATTTATGCATAATGATTTTATGGTGTCTATGTTTTAAAAACAAAAATATTTATAGGCTATTACTAAAGTAAATGTCATCTACCACCAGTCCTACCAATAAAACTTATAGCCTAACTTTAAAATAAATGGGTCTGGGTAGGAAATCAGTATTTTTGGCTCTGCTTAAGCATTTAGGATATTTTTCCACTTCATGCTTATTACTGTAGATTTGTTGTTGGTGTGGGAGATATTTATGCCCTATAATTTAGATGGAAAGGGGCTATAAAAACGGAGGACATTCTTTTGTTCCAATCTAGCAAAAAAAACATCCACCTATGTAAGAGGGCATAAAAAGAATTCCAAGAATAATTTCAGTGAATTTCCATATGTGGTTCCAGATAGACACTCTAGTAGAATGAAAATAAAGCCCACCTACACTTTGTTGGTTTGAATAGGAAATGCGTTTGAATTCTCATCCCTGTCCATATCTAGTGCAAGCTAATGTCCATATTCATACCATGTCTACACACAGTTTCACTGTGAATTGTTTGCTGTATTTAAAAGTGAGTAGATAAATGAGTGGAAAGTAGAAATATATTGGTGAAGATCGTGACGACTTGTATCCTTTTGCCAGGGTTGCCAGACGTTAGAGACAGCTTTTAAGAAATAACAAGATGATATATCACATTAAATTAAATGCCTCCAATTTGCAGTGACTAGCTATACAAAGCCAGCCCAGATGTGGTGATCTTTCAGGGGAGGGGTTGAAAAATGTTCAGGCTCAGATTCTTGTAACCAATAGGAAACAGAAGTTTCTCAATTGTGATACAAGCTTTTGTTAGAACTGTAAATTGTCTAGAAGAGCAGCTCCCAATTTTTTTCAGCAGCATGGTCCCTGCTTGTTTTTGAAAAACTTTTTCACTTTTCCACACCTCCTTTGCCATCATCCAAAAGCATCTTCTAAAATTCTATCACATCCTAAATCATTATCAGTTTCTCCATTAACCTGAAGCTCTGCCACCTCACATCGAAAGACAGTGTTTGTGGTGTGCAATTTGAAATTGTTTAAAGTTGAAGCTGATAGTAGTTTTCCATAATGAAAATTGCACAGTTCCATGTGCCCTTAGATATTTTTTTTCCTGCTCCCTGCAGAGGGGCATGTCTCCCCGCTTTTGGGAACCAAGTAGGAGTATTGCTGGCTGATCATAAAGATCATTACAGATCATAAAAGACTAGGCGCCAGGCTTTCAGTGCAATCCTGTACACATTTGGAACTGCAGAGCTGGCAGGAACCCTATGGATCATCGAGTCTATCCCATGTCAAGGATGAACCCCTAACCCCTTGCTCTGCAGCCAGATACGTAAACCACTGAGTTATTTAGTAAATCCCACTGACTACAGTAAGACTGGTAAACAGATAGGTAGAGTATTGCACTGCCATGTACTGAAAATCTGATATGGCTTGAATTTTCAAGCTCAAAAACAAAACAGAGACACTGAAGGAAAAGAAAGGAGACAGACATCTAAGTCTGAGCATGACCTATAGTGGATACTTTGTTCTCAAATGCAATGGTTCTGGAACAAGAAGTGGATGTAGCTCTTAATGAATCTTGCAGGGTTATTACTGGCTGCCTGACACCTAGCCCCATTGAGAAAATCTATTATTTGGCTGGTATTGCCTCTTCAGAAGTACATTGAGAGGTACTAGCAAATAATGAATGAAATAAGGTAATACAGCACCAAGTCCACCCATTTCATGGACACCAATCCCCTAGACAACAACTAAAATCAAGAAAAAGTTTTCTGTACACATCTTAAGGTGTAAATATTAAGCTAGAGGAGGCTAAGCTAAACCTGTGGAGAACAAAAGCAACACAGCTTGCCGAAAGGATGAGTCCTGAAGAGCGTCTCTCATCAGGATAAGACTCTGGGCGGACCATCTGGAAGTCACTTAATAGACACTGAAGTGAAGTAGAAAGATCAAAGAATAATCAAGTAAAACGGGGCTACTTGGATACAGAACAATTTTTCTGTCATCGTGGAGAAATTCGATCAATGCAGCACTTACGTGCATGCAATTTACGTCCTACCATGTGTACAAAAGAAAATCTAGCAAGTGACTGAGATAATGCTATTGAAGTAGCTTCTGGTCAAAATGGTCTAATTATCTTAACATTTTAATTTGTTTTTAATTTTAACTATTTTTAATTTTACCTATACATCTGTAAAATATGCAATGCTCGAAAGAAAGAAAGAAAGAAAGAAAGAAAGAAAGAAAGAAAGAAAGAAAGAAAGAAAGAAAGAAAGAAAGAAAGAAAGAAAGAAAGAAAGGCTTTGATCCCATTGAATCCACATGGTCTTTTGACAAGTTTATTCTGTTGATAAACTATGCCTGGTTAATGGCAAGAAAACCTGGTTATAATGCCAGGTAGTGCAAGGGTAGAGCATTAATCTGACCACAGATTAATTATTACCACAGTTCCTATTTTTCTACCAAATTTTTCACTCTTTCCTTTGCTAAATATCTAGGGAGTTGCAGCATTTGAGTAAGTAATAGTTATGGTCTGTAGATATAAATTACATCTTCCATCTCATCAAGCACTGCTTTCTACAACATCAGGATTATATGTGTAATGCCACTGAGAGTTTTGAACCTGCACTCAGTAAAATGTTAAACTCTCTTTTACAACCTATTGTCTACAGAATTTTGCAAAACAGAGCTAGTACAGAGGTTAACAATCCATTTATTAACATGCTACAATAAAGCTTTAGAAAGGCATTGTTCCTGAGAGAAATGGATATAATGCTTTGAAAGCTTCATAATGGCAGGATAAACTGCTTGACACAGACTTCATTCTTTTACATGTGGTTTTTAGTTGATGGCTAAATTGTTGGAAAATCCAAAGCAGCAAATTCCTCTATAAGAGTTATGTTGCTACTGTGCCAGCATTTGCTAACAACAACATACGTTTTTGTGGTTTATTGTGTTGGCCTCCACATGCATTATTTAGAACATTGCAAATAGCTCTTGTTGGGAAGGCCGGAAGGCAACTCTGTTCTTGTAAACTCAACACATTTGTAAAAGGGAGGAGGGAGGAAAAAGAGAAACCGCAGGTAGAATAATTCAAGTTACAATGGGGGGCTGAAGTGGGAGTTCGCACTGAAATCTCACAACCATATTGTGTATGGATTCAATAGGAATGTGAAATAAATCTCACTGTTGCCAAAATTTTAGTCAAATCTAACATGACAAGATATCCAAGCAAGGAACATCTTGCCATCATGAAGGATCTTGGCTCCAGCATGAGACCGAGAGCCAAACCATGCCTTGCAGATAACTTGTAATTAGATCTGAATCATATTAGTGTTCAAGAGACATGATTGAGGTGGTTTTTCATTTCTGCGACACAAGATTTACAAAATGATTTGAGTCTAAGGTGTCTCAAGGACCATGTCTCCTTGTATTTGCCTACTTGAGTGTTAAAAATGCATACAGACGTGTGGCTCAGAATTTTCCTGGGTTGTGTTCTTATTTTTTTTAAGTCAATTTATACATATGCACTGTGTGCATATGTATTTTGTATATGGATCCTATACCTTTGTATAAATTATGGCATGAGATGCTGTCCTGAAACTGGAAATTTAAGAATTATGAATTAATAAACCTATATGTGTTATGATTGTTTGCTATTAATTTAGCTTATTGGATCCTTTTTGTTGAACCAGATGGGTTACTGGTGACTGGGAACCATGCAGCAAAAGTTGTGGGAAATCAGGCTATCAGGTGCGTTCAGTCCGGTGTATCCAGCCGCTGCATGACAACACAAACCGCTCGGTTCATACCAAATATTGCAGCAGCAATCGTCCTGAGGGCAGGAGGGCTTGCAACCGGGAACTTTGCCCTGCACAATGGCGGATAGGTCCCTGGTCACAGGTAAGTAGGAAATTGCACTGTTGCTAATATTAACTACAACAAGGGTGGTATCAAACTGCTGCCATCCCTAGCAATAAGCACATTTAAGAACTGCTATGAATCTCTAATATGTCACCTCTCAAAATAAAAAGTCAGCTCCTGTCATCTGGAAAGCCACTTTGGAAGAATCAAGGGTATTCATGGAGAGATTGCACAAGAGCCATGTCTTGGGGTAACTCCAGTAAAGTTGATGTCTTAGTTGTGTTTCATATATGTGTCTCAAATGTTCCTCTAGGTACTTGTTTTCTGTGGCTGGATCAGGACTGACCTGATCACTGCAGGGTGAGAGGTCCTTCTGTCTAAACTATGGTCCAACGGTTCTTGTATCATCATCATGCAGAATGTTTAGAAATTAGATCATAGGAGAGTAGACACGAAACCTTTGGGAGCAGATCTGGTATCAGAATCCAATGATGATTTTGTATATGGATCCTATACCTTTGTATAAATTATGGCATGAGATGCTGTCCTGAAAGTGCTATCCCTCACAAATCTTAGGAGTGGCTTCTTGGACCATATAGCCTGCCAGCAATGTCTGTGATCTGATCTGATCAAATGAATGCAAGGCTGTTGCTAGAACTGGGATGTAAGACAATTCCAGAAGTTGAAATCAGTGCCAAGGAAGTAGAGTCCAGGAACCAATGCTGCAGCAAGGAATGGAAGCACAGACATGGGAATAGAAGCTAAAAAGTACATATGGTTGGGAATATGTAAAGCTGTAAGGACTACATCCAGTACAGGATCAGAGACGCAATCTGGAATGCTTGAGCATTCATGCTGATGGCGGTCCATGCAACCTGTAATTAATCAGACAAAGCTCCTTCATTAGAAATCTAAGAAGCTGAGCTACTGCAAAAAATAAAATAAAATCAGTACTTCCCTTACAATGTTTATAGGGCTGCTTTTACTTTTGTAGTTGTAGGCATTTCACATAGGTGGCTGTTTCAGTCCACAGCCCTCTGGGTTTCAAGATGTGCACATATCACAAAAGTGTGCATGTGGCTTATGGATTGATTTCAGAAGAGATAAGATCTTCTTGGAGGAAAAAATGGAAAGTTTATACATGTAGACATGTTCACTGTACTGAAATCAAGCTATTCTCTGGGACTGGACTTGTACAGATATCGGAGCCCAAGCACCTGAAAAAAGTAAGAGGGTACAGTGTTGGAGTCTCACATTTATGTCATAATAGGGTTCCAATTTTGGTTTAACATTCCTGGTTGTACTGAATGGATATAATGACAACAAGTAATAAATAGTCTTTAAAAGCTTTTAAAAAACTCATATTATCTCTAATAAATACCAAATGTAAATAATTTGCAAAAGGGAAGTTGAAACTAGGTTTGTTTTCTCTCTAGTGTTCCGTAACCTGTGGCAATGGCACACAAGACAGACAGGTTCTGTGCAGGACAAGAGAAAATGTTATTGGTTTTTGCAGAGAAGAGAAGCCGGAGACAACAAGGTCATGCAGGCTACCTTTATGTCCTAGTGAGTGTTTACACCTCATTCAAAAACATTTGGGATGGGGGTTTCTGAGACATGAAACACTGCTACAATTACTTACGTGAATAGATTTTCTAAGAAACGGCTTAGACACCTTTCTTCATTGTATACCATGTATTAATGATAATTATTCCAAATTAAAAGGAGACACTAGCAGACGGATATCATAGAATAATAAAATGCGAACAAGAAAAAGACCATTGTATGGAATCAAAACAATGGGGTCATTTTTCAATAGCGACCCCTCTCATCAGTGAGTTATTTATAAGCCAGTCTTTTGTTGAGGTTTTGCCCTGGGAAATTGACAGAGATGGAGACTTCAGTTGGGGGGGACTCACTGTCAAGTCAGGTTTACGTCGTGCTGGTGACTCAACTTGAACTTGACTTGGGTTTGGTTTGGTTTTTTTTTGTTTTGTTTTGTTTTTTAAAAATGACTCAGACTTGACTTGCAGCTCAGAAACCAGTGACCCCCACTCCCTTTTTTCTGGGGCAAAGAGCTTGGTTTTAATAGGGTCTCGGACTTGAGGCTTGTGACTCAGGACTTGGTACCAAAGGATCAGGATCAGTCTTGGACTTAGGACTCAGACCTAAAAACTTGCCAACATTCCTGAGTTTAAGGGGTTTAATTTAAGCATAGATGGCCAAGGGATTTCCCTACCAACATCACCAGCAACTTGTCCATTTTGTGAGATGTTTCGTTTTCCTGATAACAGTCCAGAAAAAGAAAACCCCATGTTTGCACAGACAAATACTCTCTGGTGGATTGTGCCAGTCTTATGGGGTGGCACCTATTTATTCACACACATTCAATTTTTACATTGTATAAGTACATTTGGTTTACATGCCTAAAAACCTAATATGTGAAGATTTTCTAAAATGGTGGGAAAGCACTATAAAAGTATTTGCATGGTGTATATATTTGTCTGTTTTAGCTTTTCTGGGGGCATTTCACCATCTAATGAGATGAACAGAAGTGCCTGAACTGTTTGTTTTAAACTAACAATGTGATTTTTAAAATACATTTCAAAACAATTATTTATTTATTTATTTATTTATTTATTTATTTATTTATTTATTTATTTATTTATTTATTTATTTGATTTATATCCCGCCCATCTGATAAATTTATACCACTTCTTTTAAATAGTAGTTATTAATTCTTTTCACTCATCCAAAGATTTTAAATGGTGCATTAAGAAGCTACTAATATGGTTGTTCTGGGTTTTTCGGGCTCTTTGGCCGTGTTCTGAAGATTGTTCTTCCTGACATTTCGCCAGTCTCTGTGGCCGGCATCTTCAGAGGACAGAGACTGGTGAAACGTCGGGAAGAACAACCTTCAGAACACGGCCAAAGAGCCCGAAAAACCCGAAACAACCATTAGATCCTGGCCGTGAAAGCCTTTGCGAATATATTGAAAGCTACAAATATGTTTATGCATATATAGGTATATTCCTGTTCCCACTTCCTGCGTTCTTTCTCTTTCAGAAAATTCATCAGATACGTCGAAGAAAACATACATGATACAGTGGCTATCACGACCAGACCCAGAGTATCCTATCCAGAAGATCTCTTCAAGTAAAAGACCCATTTATAACTCTGCTTTTGCCCTTAAATGCATGCCACATCAAATGTGGACTTTGCCTTCTGCTCTGTTCTTCTTCCTATATGGAAAATTTCCTTGAGTCTGCCAAGTGTTCTCTTGGGCTGAATCTTTTTTTCTCAGCACTGGGCCTTGGAGCACAGTGTCTTTCTTCTCTGGAGGTTGAGTAGCACTTGCTGCGGTGCAGATCATGAAGGTGTTGGATGTGTGGAGTAGGATCTCTCCAGTATGTTGCAAGTCCTCTAAAAAGTGAGCTGATATCAGTTTGCTTGTTGATTGGTGATGGTGAAAAAAGGCTCTTAACTGGCTCATGATTTCAGTTTGATGGTGAAACTGAGAACTTATTGTGAATGTGATCACATCACAATAATGACACCTTGTAGTGCTAAAGTTCTCCTTTGTCTAAAGGTCCTCTTATCTCACCACAGGTTAGCATCAGTGTTTTTTGCAGGATAATAAATACAAAATGAAAGCATAATCATTCCATCTTTCTTTACAGTTTCATTGCTTATAAACTCACATCTCATCGTTGTTTTTTTCAATTCCTGATTTTAAAATGTGTGTTTGTTGCCATGGGGAAAATACCTTTTTACTACAGGAAGATGAGAATTTCTTGTTATTCCTGTCAAATGCTGCTATTGTACTATGCTTTTATTGAATCTCCCTTACTTACATATATTCATTCATTCATTCATTCCCTTGTTTCAAAAACCAGCAAGTTTCTTCACACAATTTTGCCAAATGGTCCTTATGTTCTTGCTCGTTTTTTTAAGCAATTGAAAATACAATACGGCAAAAACATGTGGTGGGCTATGCTGCAAGTTGTGGTGTGCAGTATTTTAATATAATTGAGTCAATATGACGTTGTCATACTGTGCAATATCAAAAGTTGCTCAACTATCAACTCTTTATACATTATCGCATCCATCAGTCTTTTTTCACCATTTGCATGTTTGACTTGACTGGTTCAGTTGTGTGTCTGCGTGCGTATGTGTGTGATCTATTGATGTGTGTCAACTGGCAAACATAACAGTGTGTGAACTACAGAATTACCTCAATTGTTATTGCTTTGTTTCATTTTGCTGAGGGAGAAAGAAGCTGCATTTAGAAAAATGCCTTAAACTTTAATTGCATTGGCATTAACCACCAGTTCCAGCTTTAAATATAAACAGTGCACTAGTATTATGGATTTGTGTTCATATACTGTGCCTTTACTTGAATGATAAAACACTGGAAGGGAGTTTGCACAGTCCATTCATGAGGAAGGCGTAGGTCATTCCCTAATCACAGAAAAGATGCATTACTAAACATACTCTCTTAAACAGCAGTGGATTGCTTCAGCATGTATTTGTGCTGAAGGTGTAGGACTCCTTACCCATAAAGTGACTTACATAATATCAAATAAGGGAAGCATATTCATCCCTGGGTGTCATAGCTCTTTGCTTGCCACCTTCCTTCACCAAATTATATCCTTTACAAAGGTGGCCCTGTGGATCTTTAACAATGTAGCACTTCAAAATTGTCATTATCATGTGATCACATATCTAAATCTTGCTGTTACTACAATGGTTTTCTGCTGCAACATGTTGACAATTATACATGCAACGTCAAAGGCAAAGACAAGTTATCTGGCACTAAATACTGTTATGTGAAATAATTGGTGTTTAACTGTTATCAATTTATTCATGACTGTTAATTACCTTTAAATAGACAACTGTTAAGTGATGTTTCAAAATATGGGTGGCTATCGAGAATGGTGCAATAAGGTATCTGGGCATTGTGCACTAGATCTATATGCACTTTGGTTTATCAGGGATATTTTATTAGTGTTTTGTATGTATTTAACTTAATATTAAAGATGTGCCAATTCAGTTTGCTGTTCAATATTTTTTATGAGGCCAGTTGAAATGTGTACCAAAGTGACTGTGCAAATGACTATTTTTTTTTCTTACTGCTGAGTCAAAGACATAACTTTCAGTTTGTCATGTGTACTACAAAATAAAATTAAATGAAAGTTCAGCAAGTCTGGCGGTTTTGCTTTAGGAAAAAATGTAAATTTATTCAGAAATACAGCATATGCATTACAAGTTTAATTTTTGTTTTTAAAGAGTCTTCTGCACCTTAAATACAAATAGGTTTATAATGTGATCCTCTGCACATCTGCTCAGCAGCAGCCTTACTGACTTCAGTGGGACCTATGTAAGGATGTGCAGGGCTTCACTGTTAAAGTGGCATGAGCTTTTGTGGATGCAGGTGATTTAGTCACCAGAAATGTTTGTGCCAAAATAAATCTATATGTCTTCAAGATGCCATGAAGCTCTTTCTTGTTTCTACTGCAATAGAGTAACATGTCTGTCTCTATGGAAGAACTAGAAAATTTATTTAGATAAAGTAGATGATGGGAACATATTTTTATTTTAGCACTAGAATCCGTTTTGTCCTGGTTTACATGTTCCTAGTGGTTGTCGTCTAATGCTGAAAAAGAAGGCATTTTTCTAAACAATGCTTCAACTGGTTCTTATATTAAACAGTGAAAAAAATCCTATGCTTAGCAGTTAAAATGTGTATCAGATTGATTTATTATGTATCATGATTTAGCCATTTTATTATTCTGGATATATTCTGATCCTTTTTTTCTTCTTCTATTTTTTTGGATTAACACTTGTAGAGAAGAATTTTAAGTAGGCTCTATTTCCATTTATGAATTTCATTTAACAGAATTTAGATTTCGTACTAAACAAGTTAAAGATCAAGTAAAATAACACTCTCATTATTCTTTTAGAAAAAGAATTTTTTTAAAAAAAAAGGATTGGTAGTCCATACATAAGGTAGCTAATTTAAAATTATTTCCTACCTTGACAAATTTTTAGAAAAAAGGTATATATGCTAGACTGATATGTTTGCCAATTAAACACACACGGGCCCTGTTTTATTTAAGTAAAAGAAAAGTGGAGAGACATCATGCGTCCTTTCTAAAATCAGCAACTGCTTCTGCATTTGATCAGGTGATGCTATATGTTGCCATGTGCTTGAAAGCTTAATACCAATGAGCCTCGTGCTGCTGTATCAATCTGGAGTGTCATTCCAATAGCGTTGTGCTTCTGGGTGGGTGCTCTCTTTGCTGCCAACATGCATCTGAGACCTCATGGGGCAGACAGTGATTGGGGTGTCGAAGAGGGAAACGGCAGATGGTGAACAAATTCTTTGGTTCTTCACACACCCAACTCACTGCTTCCATGCTCCCATTTTCTCCATCTGATAAACTTTTTTCCTTGTCTATAACACAGCGTAGAAAAGTTTCCTTTTTTTAAAATTACAACTCCCCAAATCCCCCAGCTGTGCTGCCTGGGGAATTCTATAGGCTGTAGCTTATCAAAAAAGAAATTCCCCAGGCAAGCTCTGTTGTACAAGCGTTACTGAGCTAATGTTTTTTGTTGATAGTACATTGTTGGAGCCTTAGAAAAGCTTCATATATTACTAGCAAGGATGTTTGTCACACTGAATGCCAGTGTCCACAGAGAGGCACTGTAAGGCAGCCAATCTATGTGGCACTGAAATGAACAGGAAATGAAGAAGATCACTGTTATGCTCATCTGAAACTTTTTTTACTTTCAGTGCTAGCCCATTTTTAGAGGCTAATAAACCAGGAACAAACTTTGTCATTCACTCATAACAGGTCAGATTCTGTTTCCTATTGCAGCTGCCTCTCATTATATAAAGGGAAGGCCACTTAGCTATCTCTAGCAGAAAACTGGAAGTATGACAAGGAAAATGATTTGGCATATGGGGGAAATGGATGGTATGGCCTTTATATGTGCAAAAAGCTGGGAGCCTGGATTGAACCTCACTTTCTGCTTCTCACATGTACCAAGACAGCTGTTCCTTTATATGGAATACTGCACCACTGTAGAGAGAGCAACATGATTGGTCCCTAAAATGTGGACAATGTCAGGCTGGGATTATAGCTTTGTTTTTCAGTGGACTGGAAAGAAAGCTATGTTGCAGCAAGATAGAGAATGCAGCATTTCAGATGTAAATACATATACAGTACTCGATTTTCTATGATCTCCAGTTCACAGCCACATAAATGCTTTTCTTCTCTTATAATTTGGCCTCGTGCTCAACATAACTGAGAGATGGATCCAGGCAGCAAACCGTATGTCTCTCACTGCTGCATGCAGCCTTGACTCTTCCAGGCAGTAGTGATTCAGAGTTTCATGCTAATATTTTCTCTTTTCCACAGCATGTCCTTTCGAGGAACAGTTGGCATGTGCATGTATCCATTATTTTCTCTTATAGTTGTTCCACATTCTGCAGTTTGAAAACATGATTATGCACAGCCATGTTATACAGCATGATCTGTATTGCAAGTGTGCAAAAGTAAAGCAGGAAGGATTGATATATGTTTGCTTCTCCACAAAGGAAGGCATTCTGTGGGACCGCAGCACAATTGTTCCCCCCCCCCCCCAAGTATTGCATTCTACGGGAAAAGAAGTAGCTGTCTTATCCTTCTGTGCAGTGCATATTTTAACATAGATGTACAACATGGAAGTATATGGATGCATACTTCATTCAGATATGGACGTATACTTCATTCTAAATAAGAAAATGTCAACTTCTTCAATATATATTTTTTCCAACTGAATTTGAAGTTGGCAGTTGTCCAGATAGAGACCTCACAATGTGTTGCATTCTTCAGTTATTTAGCAAGGGAAGCATTTAATTGCCATTTACTAATGCAGGATATCTATACTGTACTTGTAAGCCACCTAGAGTGGACGAGTAGTCCAGATAGGCGCGGTACAAATCAAATAAATAAATAAATAACAATGAATAAATAATAAAGTAGTAAACTTAAATGATTCAAGGTCAAGTTCTGTGTATTCCAGATTTTATGAGTTGAAAGCAAGGGAAATACCAAATTGGCTTTAGTAGCATGAACAAAAATCTTATTCATGCAGCGTTTCCATCTTTGTGAATTCATCTGAGTGGTTTCTAAGCTACGACTAGGAGCATCTCAGTCATATTGTAGGCTGCCTGTCAGGGAGTGAGAAGCCAGTGTAAAATTGCTTTCAGCTTCTTGCATTTAACAAGGTCCTATTATTCTGATGAAAGGGTAAGCAAGGTGTGGAACAACTGAAAACTGTTCAGTAATACCCTAGTAGTTTATAGAAGGAGTGACACCAAAAATTCATCTATGATATTTATTGTTGGAATTAGGCTTAAAATTACATGAGACTGCATCTGGTTCATTGCCCTAATGCAAGATCTTCCATCATACTGAGAGGTCTATATCACTTTGATTGCTACAGTACCATAGAAAACAGAAAGCAGGAGCATGCATGGTGCTTATATATACTATCCAGATGTTCTGAGATAGGGTGGGTTATTTTCATGTCAGACTCATGCAAGACACGTGAGAGAGCTTCTGTTGCTAGCCTATGTTATATCAATGTATACAAGACTGTCTATAAGTCCAATTGTGTTTGATTTTGTCTCTGATTTACTGCATACACATAATCTTGTTTTTCTCTCCCAGCAGAACATTGCCAAGGAGACAAGTCAATGTTTTGTCGCATGGAGGTTCTCTATCAATACTGTGCAATTCCTGGTTATAAAAAACTGTGTTGCAGGTCGTGTAACATGTACAGTAACAAAACAGAAAATGGAAACTCAACAGAATCCAACCATAATAAAGTTAATGATATTGAAGAAGACACCACTCCTACACTTACTACACCTGTTGAAGTTCATATCCCACATACCACTTCAGGTCCGCCAGCTGTTCCTAAAGTGACCGTCAGCAGTCCCAATGCAACAATAGATCAGCCAGAAGGTAACGCAGTGGACGTTCCATATAAAATTCACGGGATGGAAAATGAAGTCCCACACCACAACATCATCTTGAGAAGGAGACCACCATATGAAAGGACAAAGAACCAAAGAATCCAGGAGCTGATTGCTGAAAAAAGGAAACAAGAGATGCTCAGGAAATTACACTGAAATGGAAATATAACAGCACATTTTTCCCTCTCTTATAGAGATGTTACCAATACTGCAGTAATGCCCATGTTATCATAGAGGCTACAGATAAATAGTGGTGCTATGGCAGAAATGCCAGTTGCTCTTGCCTGCAATAAATGGAAATTTAGGGTTATTTAATTAAGGTTAATATAAATGTTTAAATAATGGCTAGCTGCAAAAACTAGTGCAATATCTTCATAGATTCAAGTGCTCATATCTAGCCAAGGGCAGCGAGGATCTTATTTCTTGTGGTTTGTCTTGCTCCCTTCATGTGTATTTTTGACTTCAATGGAATGTTATTGGGATATGCTCAGCATCGTTGACAAGAGGTTTCAATAGCTTATCTCTTAAGTCTCAATGCTGTTTGGAGACTTATAGGATAACCAACAGAACCTCAGCTTCAAGGAAGCATGCACCTGCTTTTTTAAACACTCAAATCCTTAATATACTTATTTGGAAATAAGCCCAATTGCTTTCAGTGGAACTTATCTCAGAATCCCTGTGCCAGAATCCAGGGTGCCAATCTTACCTATCTTTCCGTTGAACTCAGAGGTGCTATTCCCATATCCAGGGGGCAAGAAAGGACGCCACTGCAAGAACAAGGAGACATTTAAACTCCTGTTTCAGGAATCAAACATAAACGTGCTTTGGGTGAACCACTTGCAAAACAAAGCCCTGAGAAGTGATGCTACTTACTGTACAAAATCCAGCAAGGGAAGGACTGTTCTTCAGAAGAGACAGTATAGGAGGAGAAACACAAGAAACATACTTTATAGTCCTAGATCCAAAGCAGGTCAAAGGAACTTTAAACTCATTCTTGCAAAATAAAATGTTTACACAGATGCGTGGCTAGTAAACAGTTACCTTGTTATAGACTCTTTTTCTTCACACTTAGAGACCAACATGGCCTTAATGCTCACACATATACTAGCCCCATCAATGTCAGGCAGACATACATACAAAACCCAGTGCCTAAGTCTGAACTAGACATTCCATAAAGCTTAATCTAATCATTTGTAGAGGGGTATGTGTGTGCATATTCCCATAAATCAGATAATATTACTTGTGACATATGTTTAAATTGAAATCAATCTGCTAACTCACAGGACAGAGTGTCCAAATGACCCCAAGTTTTAATGTTTTCAGTTGTTTTCAAGTGCCTGAATTTCACAGCCATTTTATTGTAATTATTGTAATGCGGTACAAAAATAGGAAAAGTCACATTTTGAGATTTCATTTCCAGAGTACCCTGACATTTTCAGTTGCTCTGAAAGGGTACCTTTCTCCATCTTTCTCCACCTTCCTCACAGTGTCCCAATCGTGAAGATATTTTCTTCCAAATTCTACCAACATTCTGATTAATTTAAATGACTGGATTTCCCTGTTGTTTCACTTGGTGCTTCTCTGTGAAGAAAATGTAGCTTTTGTTTATTGCATTTTCTGTAATTCAGTGTCTTGTCATTGTAGTGATGAACTTGTATTATCAACAGCAAATCAGGGCTGCTGTATTGCAGCAAAAACGAGCATTTGTCATAATTCATATATATGTATACACAGTACAGAATCTACTTAGATCTTAGCAATGTGTAGCTTGACAGCCCTTTGAGTACTGGTTTCATCTTGCACAGTTTTCGGGAAAGCTTATATGGACACAAGCAGCATCCGTTTGTTGCCATTTATTTCATTCAAAGACAAATGTGCAGCCAAATCCTAAACACTGTTACTCATAAGCGAGCCCCATCAATAGGATTTACTTCTTAGTAAGTTTTCTGTGGTGTAATATTGGCTATTTAAATTGCTTATTTGAACATTCAGAATCATCCATCTTAACAAGTAGCTGTAGATTTAAAACTTGAGCCAATTAGCAAAACAACCACATTGGTTTAAACTGTTAGAGAATCAGCTTCCTAGGTATTTCTACTGTTGTCATTGTTATGGATCACCTAAATTGGTTGCTTCTGATTTAGAGGGGCATAAGGAATGTGAATTGTCCAAAGTGTGCCATCCCTCAGGGAGTTTCCATGTCTGAGTGGGAATTTCAACCCAAGTCTCCTGAGTCCTAGTCTTACACTCTATCCACTGCACCTCACAGGCTCTTCCTGCTACTATCACAAACGTAGTTTGTGGGGGGGGGGGACACTGACTGCAAATGTACACTTTATTATTCCTTAAAGAGCAGGCTCTGAAATATCAGCTAATGTCTGCTTTTGCATTGCCTTTTTGACTGCCCATATGTCTTGCCCAATTGCTACAGACATAAACATTCTGAAGGTACTGAAATGAATTGGACTGGAATACCCTATTATCCCAGCTGTACTGGGATATAATCTCAAAAATGATAGGATGATTTCAATATGAATCCAAGGCAGACCTTTCAACATCACAGTCATCCAAGTTTATGCACCAACCACCGATGCTGAAGAAGCTGAAATTGACTAATTCTATGAAGACTTACAACGCCTTCTAGAACTGACACCAAAGAAAGATGTTCTTCTCATTCTAGAGGATTGGAATGCTAAGGTAGGGAGTCGAGAGATAAAAGGAACAACAGGAAAGTTTGGCCTTGGAATTCAGAACGAAGCAGGGCAAAGGCTAATAGAGTTTTGTCAAGAGAAAAGCACTCTCATCACGAACACTCTTTTCCAACAACATAAGAGGTGACTCTACACACAGACATCACCAGATGAGCAATACCGAAATCAGATTGATTATGTTCTCTGCAGCCAAAGATGGAGAAGCTCTATACAGTCAGCAAAAACAAGACCTGGAGCTGATTGTGGCTCTGATCATCAGCTTCTTATAGCAAAACTCAAGATTAAACTGAAGAAAGTAGAAAAAAACCACTGGACTAGTCAGGTATAATCTATACCAAATCCCTTATGAATACACAGCGGAAGTGAAGAGCAGATTTAAGGAACTAGATTTGGTGGACAGAGAGCCTGAAGAACTACGGATGGAGGCTTGTAACACTGTACAGGAGGCAGCAACAAAAACCATCCCAAAGAAAAGGAAATGCAAGAAAGCAAAGTGGCTGTCCAGTGAGGTCTTACAAATAGCAGAGAAGAGAAGGGAAACAAAATGCAAGGGAGGTAGGGAAGGTTACAAAAATTGAATGCAGACTTCCAAAGAATAGCAAGGAGAGACAAGAGGGCCTTCTTAAATGAACAGTGCAAAGATATAGAGGAAAAAAATAGAAAGGGAAAAAACAGAGATTTGTTCAAGAAAATTGGAGATATTAAAGGAACATTTTGTGCAAAGATGGACATGATAAAGGACAAAAACTTTAGGCACCTGACAGAAGCAGAAGACATCAAGAAGAAATGGCAAGAATACACAGGGGAATTATACCAGAAAGATTTGGATATCACGGACAACCCAGATAGTGTGGTTGCTGACCTTGAGCCAGACATCCTGGAGAGTGAAGTCAAGTGGGCCTTAGAAAGCATGGCTAACAACAAGGCCAGTGGAGGTGATGGCATTGCAGTTGAACTATTTAAAATCTTAAAAGATGATGCTGTTAAGGTGCTACACTCAATATGCCAGCAAGTTTGGAAAACTCAGCAGTGGCCAGAGGATTGGAAAAGATCAGTCTACATCCCAGTCCCAAAGAAGGGCAGTACCAAAGAATGCTCCAAATAGTTCAATAGCACTCATTTCACATGCTAGCAAGGTTATGCGCAAAATCCTCCAAGGTAGGCATTAGCATTATGTGGACCGAGAACTCCCAGAAGTACAAGCTGGATTTCGAAGGGGCAGAGGAACTAGCGACCAAATTGCTAATATGCGCTGGATAATGGAGAAAGCCAGAGAGTTCCAGAAAAACATCTACTTCTGCTTCGTTGACTACACAAAAGCCTTAGACTGTGTTGACCACAACAAACTATGGCAAGTTCTTAAAGAAATGGGAGTTCCTGACCACCTTATCCATCTCATGAGAAATTTATATATAGGATACGAAGCAACAGTTAGAACTGGATATGGAACAACTGATTGGTTCAAAATTGGGAAAGGAGTACGACAAGGCTATATATTGTCCCCCTGCTTATTTAACTTATATGCAGAATACATCATGTGAAAGGCTGTACTGGAGGAATCCCAAGCCGGAATTAAGATTGCCGGAAGAAATATCAACAATCTCAGATATGCAGATGATACCACTCTGGTGGCAGAAAGTGAGGAGGAATTAAAGAACCTCTTAATGAGGGTGAAAGAGGAGAGCGCAAAAAATGATCTGAAGCTCAACATAAAAAAAATAAGATCATGGCCACTGGTCCCATCACCTATGGTTTTTCCTGTAGTGATGTATGGAAGTAAGAGCTGGACCATAAAGAAGGCTGACTGCTGAAGAATTGATGCTTTTGAATTGTGGTGCTGGAGGAGGCTCTTGAGAGTCCCCTGGACTGCAAGGAGAACAACCCTATCCATTCTGAAGGAAATAAAGAAATCAACCCTGAGTGCTCACTGGAAGGACAGATCCTGAAGCTGAGGCTCCAATACTTTGGCCATCTCAGGAGAGGAGAAGACTCCTTGGAAAAGACACTGATGTTAGGAAAGTGTGAAGGCAAGAGAAGAAGGGGATGACAGAGGATGAGATGGTTGGACAGTGTCATTGAAGCGACCAACATGAATTTGACCCAACTCTGGGAGGCAGTGGAAGACCGGAGGGCCTGGCGTGCTCTGGTCCATGGGGTCACAAAGAGTCGGACATAACGACTAAACAACAGCAACCGTATTATCCTCTGCAGTTCTCACTCCCAAAATCTAACTGAAGACCACTTTCATGTAAGTATAAGGGCACAGTTCAGTGGCAATTTACTATGCAATCTAAAATCAGTTGCACATCTTATTGTTGCTGTTGAAGAATTTATCCTGTAGTCTACAAGTTGATCATGCAATTTGCTTCCAGTTCATACCACTCCAATGAGACCAATGGGGCATAATCAGAGAATTAGCCTTTATATCAATCGGCTGCACATTTGGCATGAACAGTCAACATTCAAGGCAGGATTGGCTTCACATTTGATCAGTTTGAGAGTTTTTCATTTACTCTGTACATTTATTCATCCTGATCTACCGGCATTTGGTTGGGATGCATTTTTCATGGTACATCAAAATATGGGTCAACTTTTTAAAATAGTACTTAGATGAGCATGGTGATGTAGTTGAGGTTGTGCATGTCAATGTATATCTGCACACAATCCCATCTGCTCATGAGCTGCTCACCTGTAAGCTTGCTTTAGCACATAGATCCTCATAGGTGAATATGAATGATTCTCCAAGGGGTGAGGTTGGCATAATTTAAATGAACGTTACTGTCTTAGCAGAACATATGACGTGTGCAGTAAGCGGCACACCTCCCAAAATCACTAAATTAGCCATATGGGTCTGAAATGAGAACTAGAAAACACTATAAATTTAATTATCTCATTCAGGCTTTGCCAAAGATTCTTAGAATAATCATGCATTGATAAGTACCTCTTCTCATGGGGCAAAAATGCCTTCTCTTACTGTCAGTCACTTTAGTGGGAGGCCTACT